TTACCCCTTTGCCCCCCCCCCCCCCTTCCCAGGTTAACCTTGACCCCCTGCTAATAACCAGCCCCGTGCTGTCATAAGGCAGGCTGTAAACTGCTGCCGGGCAGGTTTCAGGTCAGGAGGGATGGGGCAATCTTCTTTACAAGTTCCAATAATGCTGTAAATGGTCAGATCTTCGGTTGATAACGATGAAAGGTCTGATAATTGCACGTCTTGGAAGCCAACGCCGAGCACCTGGCTACACTTGTTCCCTCCAGCTCATAGCGGGCGGCTGCAATGTCTTCCATCCAACTTGAGTATGAGCAGGCCATGTATGTCTGTAGGAACGCATGGACGTCTAATTGCAACGTTTACAGATGACTTTGCTCACTTCAAAGCATTCTTTATCCAGTTATCTTACTCTCTCTGATCCACGGAGATCACACAACATATAGAGTAAAAGGAAGAGTTTGGGTGTGCGGCCACGGTGGACTAAAATCCAGATTCGTTTGTGGTAGGAGTCAAGCTTTGGTTCCGATAGGTTGGGATCTTGTGAGCGTCCTGGGGGTGCCGGGCAGGTTGACGGTTCCTCAGACTCAAAGAGCCCCTCCAATTAAGTAGTATTAAACTTTATTTTCAATAATGAATCCAGATCAAGCAAATATACATCGCCCAGCTTCCCGGCCAATCAGCAGGAAGCCAGCCAAACAGCATGGAGCCGGCTTCCCGAGCAATCAAGAAGCCGGGCAGCAAGTAATGACACGCCGCCGGGCTTCCTGATTGCCCGGGTAGCCGGCTCCCTACTAGTGGAAGTACCGGTATCAGTACTCGGTATCGGCGAGTACTGAAAGATAAATATCGGGTACTCATGCTCGATACCAAAAAACTGCATCCCTAATAACAACGTTAGGATTCATAGGGCTCAGATTGTGAGAGTGGTTCAGGGAGCATGAGACATCATTGTCACACATGGATTGGCCACCACAAAGTCCAGACCTGAACCCCATTGAGAATCTTTGGGATGTGCTGGAGAAGACTTTACGCAGAGGTCCGACTCTCCCATCATCACTATAAGATCTTGGTGAAAGATTAATGCAACTCTGGATGGAAATAAACATTGTGACATTGTATAAGCTTTTTGAAACGATACCACGGTGAATCTGTGCCTTAAAGGAGAACTATGGGGTCAGGGCTTTTCCCCATAGTTCTCCTTAGGGTAAAGGGAGGACACAAACTAGCGTGCCCCCGTCACCCTAAGCTCAGTATACCGCTAGCTACAGCTCGCGGTATACTGAGACGCCTGAGCGGATCCCGACATCGATGTCGAGATCCGCCCAGCTGCGTGACTGACAGCTGGCTCTGCCTATTTAGAGGCAGAGCCAGCTGTACCCCTCCCCCGTCCGTTCCACCAGTCAGCGCTGGTGGATCGGAGCGGGGAGGGGGGATCCATCCCCTCCCCTGTCACGGCAGAGAGCCTTGACAGGATCGAGAGGTGAGCGAACACCGGTATGTGTTCGCTCACCTCCCGATCTACTGAGCCGGCCTGTGACAGTCTCATTGTCACAGGTCGGCTAGAACTATGAGTTGAGTGAAAAGCACTCACCTCATAGTTCTCCTTTAATCAAAGCTGACGGTCGTCCAATGAAATATTAGAGTGTGTGACTTTTTTTTTGGCCCTGCAGTGGATAATCTGAACCAAAATCAGATGTCACGTGCGACAATTTGCGTTCCTCAACATCTGCGATCTTAGTTCATCTGGTCTATTCTTATCTATGTGTTCCCAATGTTACTCGCAAGTCACAAGTCACAAGTAGCTCAGTGTACAATCTCGGCATCTGCTGGGTGACGGGATGAATGAACTCCCGTGGGACTGCACGGGTGTTACGTCATCCCAACGTGGTCGATCAAGATGGCTGAAGATCCCGAACTTGGAAGAAGA